TACTTGTTTAAGACTTTCTATTCATTGCCTATAATTGATGTCTAAATATAGCGACAAGTTTTCAAACAAAAAATCAATAAAACAAATCCTAAATAATCACTAATTGCTTAATCGGTTGCCACTAATCATAGAAACACTGAACACCTCCTCTACCCTAACCCCCAGCCCACCCATGGATCGGATATCTGATCCGAAAATCACACACAAAAATGCATTGAAATCCAAACAGTACTTACAGTCAATGTGCGGCTCATCGTATCGACAGTGGTATCGCTGGTCGTACGCCTAATGGCGGCGCTCACCCTATCGTCCGGCGCTGTCATATCATCACTGATGGCACTGGACTTCCGGTTCAGAAGGGGTTTACTATTCGTAGCGCTATTATAGTTGTATTTCTTTGTCAATGAATTGGTTTTGTATGAATTGTTTGAATCGCTTTCACTTAATGTGCACTTTATTTGCGATAACTTCTGCTCCAGAAGTAAATCAATCAGCGGTTCGTTACTCTTGGAGTGAATGCCAAACGGGGGCCGAACGGGTCGGCCGGGCGTGTGATGTATGTGCGGCGGGAGTCGACTATTGCGTGGCGTGGCGTCCATCAGCGGCGGTACGCGATTCTGGCCAACAGTGGTTAACACGTTATCGCCGTACACTTCGGCCGCCGTGTTATACATCTTGTGACCACTGTTGCGGTGATGGCGTGCGGGCTGTTCGCGTCGGTGGCGGTGGTGTTGGTATCGTTGTGTGGCCGACGACGACGAGCACTGGGACTGCGGCCGCCGTGGCTTACGGGGCGCTGTAGTGGCCACGCGGTCGTAGTCGNTGTTGCGGTGATGGCGTGCGGGCTGTTCGCGTCGGTGGCGGTGGTGTTGGTATCGTTGTGTGGCCGACGACGACGAGCACTGGGACTGCGGCCGCCGTGGCTTACGGGGCGCTGTAGTGGCCACGCGGTCGTAGTCGTCGCTGTCGCGCGAGTCCGAGTCGTCGTCGGTATTGCTGGAGAAATAGTTGCCATTAGAGGCCAGACAACGGAGCCGTAATGAGCCCGACGTGCGTTGGATCAGCTCAACGATACGCTCGTGAGGCATATTGACCACATCGAGGTCTTGAACGGTCATCAAGTAGTCGCCAGAGCGGAGGCCCGACCAGTGGGCGACGCCCTTCACGTGTGTCAGTATTGATGGCATTTCGCCTGCGATTACAAAAAAAGAGGCATATTGACCACATCGAGGTCTTGAACGGTCATCAAGTAGTCGCCAGAGCGGAGGCCCGACCAGTGGGCGACGCCCTTCACGTGTGTCAGTATTGATGGCATTTCGCCTGCGATTACAAAAAAAACAGATAATTAATGTCATATAAAGGGATCAATTTGGGTGATCAACGGCCGTACCCGACAGCGTAAACCCGAAACCATGACTCGTGCGCATCAGTTCCACACATTTGACAGCATTGGCGGACATGTCTTGAGGGCTGCCATCGCTGTCGCCCATCGCGGATGTCGTGGCGGCCGTCGGATCGGCCATCGCTTGCGACCACTTCTTACGGCGTTGAGCCATAGCTAACGGCCAAAACTATACGTCAAAGCGCAGGCCGTGTCCACTGTTCGGCATATCACTCAACAACTATCACCACAATTAGATCCAAAGATGCAAATCAGACCCAAAACACCTGATTTATGGCACAGAAAAAACAACACAACTTTTTGTCGCGATTTCTCTGTTGTATTGAATGCTGTGTTTTGTGGCAAACAATAGGCGCTCAACAGTTGGTATATAAGGGATAATGAGTTTGTGTTGTTTGCGGCGATCTATGGGCTGAAGAAGCGGAGGAATGGGTTGAGTGGATGGCTATGGAGTGAATGGACAATATGTCGGACACAACATAGCAGTCCAATTGGCAGCCAATCAGCGATCAGTGTTTCGCACAAATCGTTGTATTAATGATAAACTGGTTTTCGCTTCAAAACAAACAAATCGTTTTAAAAAAGTTGAGACAAAAAACTGGTTTAAAGCGCAAACATAAATGACGTTCACTTTGTTTGGCAACTTTTGTTTTAAACCCCATTTGCCCCCATTTGTTGAGTTTTGTAGTGAACTGTAGTAATTAATTGCTTTTGATTGTGTTTTATTAATTAATCATGGTAATTGATTTTCAAAATGTTATAATACATAGACTTTAAGGGAGAAATATTTTTAAAAATAACTTAGCAATTAAAAAATTACCCAGTATGTCCATAAAATTAACATAGTAGTTAATTTAGCACTATTATTACCGTATTCTTATAAAAACAAGTCAATTATTTATCAACTTGATTATAATTAAGTTAATGTTTGTTATTTAATTAACATAATTAACAATTTGTTAGTGAAACAGTGATGGTTATTTCACTGATAGTGGTATACTTATCGATACATAACTTAAAAGTTTGAGTTAAATTAAGGTGAGTTAAACTTATTTTACCTTAATTTATCTGAACAGTTAAGTTAACTATACTGTTAACAATAGTATGAAGGAAGCAATCAATTGATCAAACTCAAAAAGTTAATAAAAAACAACTTAATCGTTTAAATTTTATTTACTTTTCTTTTTAAACTTTACTTTGTAAACCCATTAAACCTAATATTTCACAAAGAATTTCTTGATAATTTATAAATATATCTATCATTATATCGTAACCACTATTAATATTTTTGTTGCTTATTTAATGATCTAAAATTAGTGTTATCTATATATTCACACATAATATGGATTACAAGTTAAATATTGACACTAACTTACTATTTATATCCATTACTAATGGGCCATTAGAAGCGTGTTTAAGACCACGATTATTGATTTATTGCACAATTCACTTATACTATACCTGGTATATAAAATGATTATTTCTTATATTTGTCTCATTTAATAAGTATACAGATTGTGATCAAACACTGCATTCAACACAATGTATAAAAAGTATAGTAAAGACTCTTTGGACCGATTCGGTGATGATTTGTGCGAAGTTTTATTATCTTATCTGTCATTTGAAGACCGATTCCGATACGAGTCTGTGTCCACACAATGGCAGCGATCGGTATTCGCCGCACAAACGACGCTAACAATTGATTATAGTTTTTACAACAAATTGATAACTAATGGACAGCAAAACTATTGGACAACTTTTGAGGTAATACTGGAAAAGTGTACAGAAATCACAGCAATTGATTGCACGGATGTCCGCATCGATTACAAGATGTTTGAGTTAATTGTCAAACACTGTGAGTGTTTGACACAAATCAATATAACACTCAATCGGGACATATATGTGGCCATAATTGACGAGTTTTTTGCCAAATTTGCCACCACTTTGAGGACAATTGGATTTTGCATCGAAAACAATACAGTTATCGGCGAAAGAGTGACCAAAAACATGAAACTTTGCAAAAATTTACGCGAAATTAGCGCTAATTCTAGAGGCGATTTCAATACAGAATTTTGGCCAATGTTTTGTACCAAAAATCACATCCCATTCCCGAAACTGACAACAATTTCGTTCACTTATCATAACGAAGACATGTATGGCTTTGAGATGTTTGTAGAAAACTATAAAAATTATGGCTTAAAAGCAATTCGTGTCGTAATCGACGAGAGCTGTAATGAGACGGCAATTGCGGTACTGATGATAGGTTTGTCTCAAATGTCGATATTAATTGATTTGAGCGTTGATTGCAATATAAACGGCAATTTATTGTACGAGACGTTTGCCAATGAATTCATACAAATTGGTCTCAATTGTCGACATTTAAAACGATTGTCGGTTTCGTTAACTTTTGGCGAAATTTTCTTTGATTTCGTGGATTTTATGCGAGAAATTAATGAAAACTTTCAGCAAATCAAACGTCTGGAGATTTGCGGCGATTTCTCCGATAATTATATATTGGGCAGTGATTTACTCAATCAATGCAAACAATTAACGCATTTAACACTAAATGCATTTATTTGTAATAATTTCTTCGAAAATATTGACAAAAATGTATCAAAACTGAAACAAATTTGCTTTCATAAGACAAATATTACTGATATGTCGATGGATTCGTTGACAAAACTACCGGATTTACACACTATTAAACTGTACGATTGGTATAAAACAGAGTCTATGATCACTGATATTAGCCATAGATTACCACATATTAAAGAGATTATTGTTGTTCACAGAAAATAGCACATTTATAAGGAAACAAGGATTTGTACCATGCACATCAACAACATGCACAACAAGATGACACATTAATTTACATAAGTTAGAAAAACATCATTAATATAGATTCATGTCAACAGTTGACGTGAATTTTTGCAATTTGCAACTTATTTGACGTTATTTCAAATATCATTAAAATAGATTATTAATAGAAATGTTTCCTGAATTGTTTGTCTACATATAAATAATCGTCCAACATTAAATTTTTAAATCAGAAGTAACACATAATAAATTTAAAACATCTTAATGAAATTATATAAACTTTATTAATACTATTATATCTGAATTAAAGTTGAGGTTTAAAATGTTTATTCAATTAAGAGTTTCATATATTTTGATAAATATCTAAAACATGAAGAAACAGAATGTCACAAAAATTTGTAATAAATATTAAGTTTATTAAATTCATTGACTGCATATTATTAACCATTTTGTATATTTAATTAATTTAGTGTTTAGTTTTTAAAATTAATTTATTCAATGAATTTCTTAAAACAAGTTTTATTATTTAATGAACAATTGTATGAATTGATAATTTATGAAATACTTTTTTATTCATGAACAATAAATGTAAATCAAAAATGTAGTTTATATGTGTTAGTGAAATACAAATGTTTAGTTTTAAATAATTTATACAATTAATAAAAATCATTATAATGTAAACACAATTACTATTTTTGGCACAATTTAGTCATTAATTTTTCCACAAAAAAATCGTTATATAAAATGAAATGAAATATTTTGAGTGAAATATTCAGTGTATTTAACATTCGTTTTTAAGCGGAATTTTCTCCAAAATCATCTGAAATATAAAATTGATATTAAAATGATTTTTAATTAAAACAAAAAATTATTTTAAACTTTGAGTACACGAATTGAATACTTACATCAAGCAATCTTTGTGTGTATAACTCCTTGTCGTACCAGTTATTATAATCTCGATTCTTGTCCGGGAGTTGAATATTCTCGCGTTTGAGCACTAATTCCAGTTCATCCGTATTGAACACTAGTATGGGGTCGAGCCCTGCCTTCCATATCAAATCTCCCAAATACTCCTTATAGTGAAGTCTATATTATGAACAATACATATACAATGGTCCCAGGGCATTATTATTTGAAAGCATCATTTGAATATCGTTAAAACAATAAATTATTTGTCTAAATATATGTCGCAAAATACCTGCAAAGACCCGCATTCTCGACATACCGACCGCAGGCCTCGTCTCGCATACCATTATCGGTGTCCTTCTGCTCCATAACAGGACATCGGGTGCTCTTATGATCCGAATCTAATTTGGTTTTGTATTTAATGTTTTCTTTCTATAAAGTGTTGGGAAAAAATTCTTGTTACCACTGATGCCCAACACATCCCATAATAATGGCTTACATCGAGCAATGACTGCAATTCTTGAGTGTCTTTGTCTCTCAAATAAAAGAGACAATTCCTCGGATGGTGTGAATGGAGACCCAGTTTCTCGCAAAACGGAGAGACACCACATCTCTGGTATGCGTCGATTCAATTGATTTAGTAGTTTATAAATTATATATGAATTATTAGATTAGATAACAGACAATCTGAACATACATTTCCCATTTTGAATGGTCGCTGACAACCGCCGCAGAAGTCGTACGAGCACTGAATGCATCGAAAGTGCATACAACCACCCTTTGCCAACTGGTATTTGAATTTACAATTAGGACAATCTGTAGTCATATTCATTGATTAGGATAGAAAATACTTGAAATATATGATTGATTATGGTAATTTGCGTTAAATCACATACCAATACCAAACTCTTTAAGGTGTTTATCGAGTTGTTGTTCAGCAAATGAGGGGTCGTTAGCCTTTTCCCATTCGGCAAACTGTTCGCAAGTGATCCCAAAGTGTTGTTTCTTCCACTATTGAAATCACCGGCAAAGACATAAAGATCACAATTATATGAATACTATTTGTGGTGAAAATAACAAACCTTTTTCTTGCATTGAGTACACGTTAGGTTCTTACAGTCCGGACACATGAGGGTCAGCGCCTGGAGGTTGGGTGCTATAAAACCTGAGCTACACTGTATGCGCACAATTAGATTAATCGTTTAATTATATTAACAAATAATATTCTTGATATTCTTACTATAAATACAGAATATTGTAATAATAGATATGCAAACCTGAGTACACCATTGAAAGTTTGGGTCCCGCATGAGAGCCCTGTCGCGGCACTTGCGCTGAAACAGCTCATAGACATCGGTGGGCACGTGATGGCGGACCAACTGATCCAGAAGTGCCAGATAGTCAAACACCGTGTCGTCGTCGTCGGGATCGATGGCCGGCTCGTCACAGAACGGACAGCATATGACCAGTCGTTGTCGTTCGCGGATCTGAACGCAATAGTATTTAGTGAGACACTGACGGCACGCGTTGTGCGTACACGAGATCATTGCCACCAACTCCTCGATCGGGTATACGACACAACACAACTCGCACTCGTAGTCAGTGCGCGCCCATCCGAACCCCTCGTCGTATAGCAACCTATTTAGTGACCCATTATTTCCCGACTCACTCTTTACGGCCAGTTTTTCGGCGAAAGTCTTTGCCTCGACGGCCGGCAACGGACCTATTGTTTTGTTGTTCAGTAACTTATCGGTTGTTTTCTTCTTTGGTTTGTCGTTTAACTTATTGATTGTCTTATTTATTGGCTTATCATTGACTTTATTATCTAATTTATTAATTGAATTGTCATTTGCGTTATCATCTAATTTACCACTCGATTGTTCGTTTGATTTCTTAACAGTTGTCTTAATTGGTGTGTCGAGAGGTTTAGACACTGTATTATCCATTGAATTGTTGATCGATTCCTCCATCTGTTCGATTTCTTCAAGACTTTCGCGAAGACTTTTGTCGATCTCTTTAATCATTTTCTTTCTTTCAATCGTGAGATTCTTGGCCTCGGAATCACTCTCTTTGATACCATTGGATGTATTCATTGAATTTGTGGCACAATCTTGTGATTCAACTTTATTTGATTGATTAGATTCCTGGGATATTGATCCAGATATTTGTTTTTCAGACAATTTTTTGTCAATTCTTGCACCCATTTTCTCTTGATTGCCAACTATTGAGCTCTTTTTCTTTACAGAATATTCTTTTGGTTTTACCGATTCTTGTGTTTCATTTGAATTTTGTGCTATATTTTCATTATTTGTATTAATATTTTCACTGCTTTTAATATTAGATAACAGACAATCTTTTTGTGATTTGATATTTTCAGTCAAAATTTTACTTTTATTTTCAATTCCAGACTTTTTATCATTATTTTGAACGATATTTGCATTCATTTTGTTATCAACTGTTTCTTTAACGGAATCTTTGAGTTCTTGTTTAACGGATTCTTTGATATCTTGTTTATCAGATTTTCGTGGGTTCTGTATATTATTCTTTTGGCTTGAATTCAATTTACTTTCA